TCCGATATTAGCCCAAATGTCTGATACCAATCTATAAAGTCCTTTTCAGACTCATGAAACACATGCAATGACACTGAATGCAGGAAGATCACAGGCCAGTGAGTGGGAAGTCTTGTGGATCCAGTGGCATTGTAAGCATCTCAGCATTGGCAGGGGTCTCCATGTGGCACCTTCATCTCAGGGTACTAGCCTAGCTCCATGTGTGTTGTCAGCTGCAATGTCTCCCGGGGATTGAGTGTGTGTCTCACCTCAAGTGAGCTATTTATCTCCTTAGCACCTCCAAACGAGGTGATCAAACTGCCACCTGATTGACAGGCTAAACTCCACCCCTTCACTCTCCATCCTCTCTAATTGACAACAGATTATGTAACTACCTTGGCTTCTATCATAAATTTCGGTGTACATCACTTTGGACTCAATTTGACCATGGCCAACATACCCTCCACACTACTACCAGAAACAGACCTTCCTGATAAGCACATTGCACCATTCATTCTCTACCAGAGCAGGGGGTTAAATGCTTGCTACTCATGAAGAAGTCATCAGTTCAAACCCAGGCAGGAGAAAGGTATGGTAGTCTGTTTACCTACAGATCCTCACCTTTAAAACCCTCCTAGAGCAGTTCTATTTTGTCCCATATGGTCACTACGAATAAGAATTGAGTCAACTGCTCTGGTTTAAAGAACTTCCTGGTTGCGAATCACTTTCTGTATTCAAGTCAAGCTCTTTAGCTTGGCCATAAGACTTGCTGTACCTGATCTGGTCCCTGCACCGCCTTCTGCTACGGTGTCCCCTGCTGTGGCTTCATGCTAAGGAATGTGCCATTTCCCAGAGACATTACACCCTTGCCTACCTCTGTCGTGACGCACTTGCCTTCAAATGACAGTATAGCGTAGTGGATTAGCTGTGACGTGTCGGGTCAAACAAACCTGCTTTTCGGTAGCTTCCCCTCTTTGTGTCCCCTTGTCCTCCTAGCATGGTTGTGAGAATCACATCTGATACTTTCATAGACAGATGGGTGGCATGTTCACTTAGTAGGTGCTCAAAAGAAAGGCTTTGCAATCGAATTCTGAAAATTCAGCTACTGGAAATCTGTGGAGAATAGTTCTATTCTGACACACCCGGGGCTGCTGTGAGTTGCAATTGACTCATCAGCAACGGGTTCGGTTTTGTTTTCGCCTAACAAGCTATGTGACTCTCCCCACTGCTAGGGGTGAGAGAGAACAGAAATCATGGTAATTTACCAATTCACAGTATTCCCAGATTCTTCCAATCTAGACCTTCCTTGGAAGGCTCTGGCTCTGGGGTGACTATTCAGACTTTTAGATGTCCTACCTTTTCCCTGAAGGCCTACTGGTGGCATTGTTGGGTAAGTATTGGATTCCTAACTGCAAGTTCAGTGGTTCAAACCCCATCAGTCACTCCACAGGAGAAAAATGAGGCTGTCTGCTCCCATAAAGATTTACAGCCTTGGAAGCTCTATATAGGGTTGCCATGAGTTGGAATCTACTCTATGGCAATGGGTTTGAGCTTGGGTCCCCTTCCCTAACCCTCCTCCAAGAGGTATAGGAGAGTGGGGTTTGTGACGACATGAGAGTGTGAGGGAAGCGTAGGGGCCTTCTGGTCCTCATCTAGGTCATCTGAGGAGTGGCTGGTGAGATCCCAGGCATGAATATTTTGCTGGTGCCCTCGGCTGAACTTTTCAGCTGTGAGATTACCCTGCAACAGCCCTGATTCGGGCCCTGTGTGACTTCCTTAGAACTGGCTGCTCACACTGGGACCCTGCTCTAAAGGCTCCACCCAGTGGAACTCATTCCATTGCTTCTGTCATGACACCTCCCCATGTGCTTGTGCCCATGCACACACACACACACACACACACACACACACACATTCACGCACACACACTCAGCTCTCCAGGTAGTATCATCAACTCAACCTTCTACTTATCCCCTGTAGGACTTACGGAAACTTCGGGTACCTTCCACACCACACACTAGCAAAAGTGGGGACTGGGAGTCCTATGGAGGGTTAGCTACTCAGTGCCTGAACAAGCAAGCTGCTGATTTTAGTGTTAACTGATATGGCTGGAGGATCCCTGGTGGCGTTGGGCTGCTAATTGCAGGGTCAGCTGTTTGAAACCACCAGCCCCTTCACTCATCCAGGAGAAAGATGAGGTTTTTTTACTCCCGTAAATGATTACAGTCTCAGAAACCCCCAGAGCCGCCTACTTTGCCCTATAGGGTCACTATGAGCCATAATTGACGGGAGAGCAGGAGTTTGATTTCAGTTGTGGTGATATGCTAAGGCTGCCCCTTGTCTGAGGGGAGAGGGCTACTGGGTGGTTGCGGTGGGGGAGATCCTCTATAAGGCAGTTTTTTGCCAGTCTCAAGTGAGAAATGGGCACAAGAAAGCCCCATCAGCATAAAGGTTTGTTCTCAGTCTGTTTTAAGTCTCTCTTCTGGTGCTTGAGCCTGGAGACCTGAGGCAGGAGGTTCTGTTCTTCCTACCTTCATCCCTTCTTCCTGTACTGGGGGAAGAGAAGCAGGGGAGGAAAAGGGTGGTCTTCCCCTCCCTCTTCCTGCCTGTTCAGTGTTTTCCCTGTATAGCATCCTCCTGTTTCCCAGTGTGGAATTTTCCCTCCCCCTGTCCCTAGGGCTAACCTGGAGAATAGCTGCTAGGTAACCTGATTTATGAGGCGAGGTATGAAAACACATCTGTTTAATATTTTCAAATTATTACCCCTGTTACCCCTGCATTGCAGAGAGTAATCACTGGTCTCAGAGTCTCCGGGTCCCTTTATAGTGATGTGGCTCAGAGGAAGATTTACAAGGTCTCTTAGATACTTCCTTCACCCAACTCCCTTCCTCCCCTTTTAGTCCATCAGCCCAAATTCTCTGGCAATAGTCCCTTCATAAGCAGCCTTGAAGCCAAGTGGAAATAGTCTCTCAATGGAATGATTTGGTATAACCAATACATGATGCCTTCAGATCCTGCAAATGGTGGCCCTTTGGTAACCCACCGAGGCACTCAACACATTCCTTCAATATGCCATCTCAGGGAAGTCAGCTAACCTTATGAACCCAAATTGAGAGGGCGCATGAAAATACTATTTGATTTGTAGATGTGTCTTTCCACTTCACACTGCCCCCAAAGAAAGGGGAAGCTCTTGTGGCGGGTGGTGGTGGGGGAGTGGAAATGGTAAGGAAATCGACAGCCCTGAATAAAGCAAGAGAAATAAGAAGAGGAAGTGTGAACCTTTATAGCCAGGACTCCACTCTGATGCCACTTTTACCTCTCCTTTATGTGGATTCGTCTGTGGACTATCTACATTCCAGGTCAGAATGGGACTGTGTTGTAGAGGGGGGGGGGAGTCTAAAAAGAGATAACGATGAAGGAATTGCTTTGTACACTGAGTCCACTGGAGAAACAGAAAATAGTTTTATTAAAAAATCATCTAGGGGAGGAATATGAAGTACAAACACCCCTTGCTTGATATCATCAGTACCATCTGGGTTGTGAACCATTTGATTCTAATTTCAGAAGCTTGATATCAAAAATAACTTGTCATTACCAGGGGGATATGCTGGAGAATTGTCAGGAATGACAAAATTTTTCTTAGTTTTTAAAATTTAATATCTGTATTGCAAAATGGTAAAGCTGATAAACAACCTAATGGTGTGAACAAATGAGCCAGCGCCTGGCACTTTCTGCCACTACTCAACCACCTATCCTTCCTCTTTCATATCTGTTTCTCCCAACAAAGGGTCCCGTGCCCTTCAGAGAAGCAGAGAATCCTTTATCCCCTCCTCTCTGCGGAGAAGAGCACTGGACACACGGGGGTCTGTTTGGCGCTTATCCGCAGACTGCACTGCACATCTGCTTGCTAGGTCATTAATTTAAGTCTCTTCACGGTGGCCATGTTGGGGGTATCCATCGTGTATCAGGGCCCTCCTCTGATCTATCTTACTGAGCTCCCATCGCATACAGACCACGGACTAGGTGAAGGCATGGCACTTTGGAGTTCCAGTCCACCCTGGTTGTATGATCTCCAGCAAGCTACTTAATCTCAACGGTGTCGAACTTGTGAGACTGAAATAACAGTATGGGTCTCAAGGCCCAGGTATTCAAAATCGGCGCTGCAACAATAGCCAACAGTTTGAATGTTGGCAGCCCCCAAATACTAGATAGGGTGATCATTTCATTCAAGTGAAAAATACAAGGCAAGGAGTCGGTTATTGGTATCAGAGGGGAGTGTAAGAATTTGATTGGGGAACCAAATAATGGTGCTCTCATTCTTTAAAAACCATCAAAACTCTGAGGATATTTTGCACAGAGAGCGAGCGTCTTCCTTAGCAACCTCGCATCCTCAGATAATTAAGGAAAAGGCTGCTTGGATTAAGAGATAATACAGCTTCCTCTTTGGATTTTCGGTTTCATTTGGGGAGGCGGTGGCTGCTGTTTGGCGAGCGTGGCCATTTTAAGCCCTTTGAGCAGATGCCTTTTCTAGAAGCAAGCCACCAGGTCCTTTTCTGGTTTCTGCAACCTGCTCAAGTTTCCTTTTCATGGCGGCGGCCTGTGGTGTGCAAGGAGTTAAAGGGTCTCCCCTACATCCCTTTGCCTGGATCGTTCTTTTGTGTACACAGCTGCAGTGGGCGCACGGGTCGGAAAGGAAATGGGGAGAGGAAGAGCTGGTTTTCAGACGAGGCAAGTCGGCTGGGGGGGCGGCGGGGTGGCCTGGGGTTTCACACGCCAGATGTAGGCCGGCCCCGGTGCCTGCCCCAGCCGCTGGCGCGGTCCCGCCGCCGCCCAGTGCAAACGCGGGCGAGGGGATGAGTTAGCGGGTTGCCATGGAGACGGGGCCGGCCACGTGACCCGGGGGCGGCTGCCGGCGCTTTGACGTCAACGCCCGGGAGGGCGGGGCCCCGAGAGGGCGGGGCGAGGGCACGGGCGGAGAGAAGGGAGGGAACCAGCGAGCGAGCGGGCGGGCGGCGGGCGCGGTGCGTGTGAGGAGCAGGCGAGCGGGAAGACGCAGCCCACCTTCCTCCTCCCCGAGGCAGCCGCCAGCGGTTTTGTTTCCTTTCTCGGGAGTGCGCCAATGCCTGGTCCGACCCAAACGCTGTCCCCAAATGGCGAGAACAACAACGACATCATCCAGGATAACGGGACCATCATCCCTTTCCGGAAGCACACAGTGCGCGGGGAGCGTTCCTACAGGTAATGGGGCCGGCCCGGGAGCGGCCGGCCGGCCGGGCGCGGTGAGGGCGCGCGGCCCTCGGGCCCTGACAGAACCGGGCGAGCGCCGCTCGCCACCCGGGCTGCAGACGTGTCCTCGGCAGGGCGCCGGGGACGACTCGCTGCCTCGCTCCATGTGTCATGCTGGGTGCGCATCGAGGTTCCAGGATTTCTGATGCCGTTTGTCTCGGAAAGGGCGTTTGTGTGTGTGACTAGCTTTGCAGCCTGCAGAGGTGTCTCCTCCACATTGATAAAACATGCATGCTTTTGATTTATTTTTGCCCCTGCCCAAGAGGCACCAGGCTATGGCACTTCCTTCCCTCCTTCCCTTTTAGATTGTGAAGGAGCCATTCGGTATCTCCGCCTAAACGCAGGACGCCGGAGGGTGGGGAGCAGAGCGTTTGCGCTTGCCCTGGTTGTGTGTGTGTGTGTGTGTGTGTGTGTGTGTGTGTGTGT